TCCACTTTTATGTTCAAAATGTGCCATCCACTTGACACCAACAACTTTTGGCCATTTACTGGAGTTTGCCAGTACTATGTACAACATAGTGGACATTGGCGATCTAATGATACCATCATGTTCTCCAGTGCCTACTTCCGACTGAAACCCGAGCTAGAACGACATAGCGCGCAATGTCACTGTCGGTTGTCTCAACCAACTTAATTTTCGGTCACTCCCTAGGTTAATCTCTTCAGTCAAACGGTGTTTCACCCAACCCAGTGCAATCGATACTGTCTCGAGTTGATTTCATGTCTGGTTGTCTGCGCGTAACAGTGAGCACGCGGATGGCCGCCCACTTCTGCGTTGTGTGTCTTGATGCCGCGTAAGTGAGTGGGTGGAAGTTACAGTACTTCCTCAACCGCCCATAGATGCCGCGTGCTAGTCCGCACCCATCCTACAGTGAATGAGCTCACGAGTTGTTTTCGCGTCCACTGCATCACGTGATTTGTTGGCTGAGCGCTGCACCAACCGATGCAGACGTTCTGAGTACACTTGTACTGATTTGCAATTGGTCAAGACGATGGATTCAGCTTGATGTGGTTAGAAATTGGGTTGAATATTCTTAAGGAGGAGTTTGATTCCGTTAAGGACTGGCTTGCTTCCGAAAAGGTATAGACAGGTCGCCTTTTGGCCACCACAGAAACCGCAGTGCTCCTTGGTCGTCCTCCGGCACCTTTACCTGCATGTACATTTCTGCCACGTCTGCTGCTAACGCCACTAAATTCTTCCGAAACCGAGTAAGTACTTTGGTCAGGTTCGCAGTGACGTCGGGGCCCTGGCAGAGTTGGTCATTTAGGGACAGACCTCGAAATTTCGCCGCACAATCCAAAACCACTCTAAGTTTCTCCGGTTTCTTGGGGTTAACTATCGCGTGATGAGGTAGGTACCAGCACCAGCAAAGTGTTTGAGTAAAAACACCCATACAGACGACCGACTATAAGGGTTTTCCTTGACTTGGAAGCTGACTTCGATTCTGTTGACCGCGCCAGCTTGTGGTACTGCCTATCCATGAAGGATGTGCCGGCAAAATTCCTTTCAATTATGCAGTGACACTCGAGACCTTGTAAGGGCCTACGGGGAACTGTCTCTTGAGTTCACCATGACAAGTGGGGTTCGCCATGGCAGTTCTATACCTCCTTTCCTCTCCAACTTTGTGATCGAAATGATCATGAGTGACTCCGTTCTTTCAGACTCTACCTGAGTGGAACTACTACCAGGTGACCGACTGACAAATCTGAAGTATGCAGACGACATATCTCTTCTTGAGTCCGACGCAGTGGCTGTACAAACGCTGCTGGATAGACTGACGCATCACGTCGCAGGCTTCGGCATGTGCTTTGCACTTTTGAAGTGCAAAGTACTGTTTCAGGAGTGGGCCGACACACCTTCGGTTCTATCTGTCACCGAACAACCACTGGAAGTGGTGGATCGGTTCACTTACCTTGGTAGCTGTGTCACCTCTGGTGGTCACTTCACTGAGGTTGCTTCGAGTATCAGCAAGGCCCGTGTGGCTTCCCAGCGACGCAACCATGTACGGAGACGGCGGGATATCAGCCTGTCAGTGAAAAGTAGGGTGTATAAGGCTGCGGTAAGGCCGGTCTTACTGTATGGATCAGAGACCTGACCAGTTCCCGGTGAAGACCTTAAACGCTTGGCCGTATTGGACCATTGGTGCTTGTGGAGTATTGCTCATGTCTGGTGGGAACACCGGGTGAGAAGTGCTGAGGTCCGCCAGTTGGTTTTTGGAAAGAAGCCTTCTGGTGCCTCACTGGAGTGTTTACTGAAGCTTAAACACCTACGTTGGCTAGGCCATGTCTTGCGTATGCCCGTTGACCGGCTTCATCGGCGTGCATTATACGCTGTGGCTGCAGCAAGTTGGGTGGAAAAGCGAGGTGGCTAGTCCATGACGTGGCATAGTGGCATGAAGAAATTAACTGAGAGACTTGGTCAGGCTGGATGGGGGCTTCGGGATAGTTCACACCAATGGTTAGAGACCGTATCTGACATGGCACAGACATTCAGTTTCTCGTATCTGGTTGTTAATTTTGGTTCCATTCTGTTTAGTTTAACGCACTATTTGTCTTTAGCCGCACTGTCATGCCGTTGTTAGTTATTCTTGCGATGTGAGTCGTGGCAACTGGATCCACCGCACCTCAGTGCTCGGATCATAGATGATCAACTGAACGGAACTGAATTGAATTTATCTGGTGAGCACGACACATTCAACGCTTTCAGCCAAAGGTAGGTGCAAAACTACTATATTTGCAGATCGAAGAGTGTGAAACGAAGTTTAGCGAGTAGAAGAGAAAAACACGCAGCACGTCAAGGAGTAAATTGTTTCGTAACAATCGGTGACACTCACATGCCGCTAAGGTTAAACAAATCGATCAAGGTGACGCTAAATGCAAGTCCGATTAAGTTGATGCTTCGGAACTATGAATATCGGCTAATCCAGAGCAGGCCACCTGGTACCCATAGTCAGCAGGCACTTCCGAATTAGAACACAAAAGTGAAGTACAGCTAAATACAGCCTGGTGTGAGAACAAAACTATCCGGAAAATGAAAGGAGACGGTACATAATATTAATTTGGGGCGGAAAACTTCTCAGCCGCTTTCGGAAGAGTCAAGACAAGAATTGCATTCTAACTTTGAATCGACCATATAAAGTGAAACGGCATATCGCTTACTACCTCGACAGACCATCCACCCCGCCACCTAAAGGGAAAGCGTATTTCGAAAATCACGTAATAGGCGTGTTGATCCCGCATCGAAATTATATATATATATATATATATATATATATATATATATATATATATATATATATATATATATATATATCTACACGGCAACTTACAAACAAGTAGTCACTGAAACCGACGGAAGTGTAACGTACAGTTAGGGTGAAGAGAAAACCGATTAGGACAAAAAACAGCCTATGGCTTTGTTTGAGAGTGTGGTGTCATTCGGTTGTTCAAGTTTAGGGCTGAATAAGCGAATAGAAGTCAAGGAATTGCGCTCATTGGGAGCCGGTGACTGCTCAGTTTACACGCCTTTCGTTTGGTCAGGTATCAAACAGAGGCCCTAAACACACCGCGCCGACCCCTCGGACTACAATGCTCGAACGACGTGAAGCAAGGGGTAGTGACTTTAGTTAGTAGCGAGTCACATATGCCACGTCACAGCAACACTAAGTGGATGTTTGAGGCTTCGTATAGAAAAATTGCCGAGCGAAAATGCATCACACTCTGAAACACTATCACCGAACAATTTGCTGAAAGGGGATAAACTCGAAACACCCAGCTGGTGCTACGAGGTAGTTCGGCAAGGCATCCAGAGGAGAGTGAACGGGTTCAGTGTTAATTTAAACGTCGCATGGCGATCATAGCACTTGCGTGACGTTCAATGCTTCAGGATGTTGAGCGAGAAGTGGTTTAAAATGATGCCTGCTTTTCAAACAACTGATAAACCTGTTCGACATGGCAAGTTAAAGTCTGCGTTTGGAAAGCCAAGAATAATGTTAAATAAGACTGGGATATAGCGGCAAGAAATTCAAAGTCCGATTTGCAGTACGCGCCGTGTGGGTGGATTGCGATACACAATTTCTATTGAGACCTCGCTTCACTTCGAACTAGTGTCAGTGTTAGAAGGAGCAAGACCGAAACCCCTCCATTTCGGATACGGTCTTTGTGATAGGAATGACCGAGGTCTAGTTCAAAGTGAACCGAGGTCTCAATAGAAATTGTGTATCGTAATCCAACCACACGTCGCGTGGCCCAAATAGAACTTTGAAGATTGGGATATCCTTCGAAGTAAATCTGGGTCATTACGACAGCTAATTGTATCAGAATTGGGGATATCCCCGATGCGTTTCGATCACGAGGCATCACAAACAGCTTTTTGCATCGTTACTTTGATTATCTCAGTAGGTTTTCAAAATGACAAAACCAAGGGACAGCTTAAATGTGAATTTAGATTATTGTAACTATTTTTAATTATATACTTGCACGCACATAGTGGTACGAATAAATAAACGGGGATGATAAGGAATCAATAGAGACAATCAATAGGTCACTGAAGCAGTCAAGACCGTAGGCTATACTCACAGCTTACGGCTTAGCAGGACAGGGCGAAGTTGGCCGATTTCTTTTTATATAGGTGGAACTTTAGGCGCCGGATGATGAAAGCTGTGGCAGACGTGCATTAATTTGATTACTGGTAAGTAAATGCTTCAAAGGTTTCGGCTCATAGCGTAGTGGAGTGGATGCAGAACGAATGACCTAGCTGATAATTGAAGATCACTTAACACTAAGCTCTGAGTGGATCTGTTGACCAGCAGACCACACCTGAACGTCAGCAGTAAGCCAAATAAAAACATGACCTCGTATGATGTACCAGATACAAACGCAGTCTTCTTCAACAGTTCGAAAGCTATCCCGTCGGTCCTGGACAAGCGCTTAGAAGTGACTATCAGTAAACACTCCTTGATAATGCACGAACTTGGATCGTTGTGTGCGATGAAACGCATAGTGGTTAACAGATATGGATCGTAACCCATCACATGCTCCCCTGTATGAAAGACTACACGGCGCATAGTCGACCGGGTGCAGGTTTATCAACAGGATACGCAAATTCGATGGACAAGTCGTGGAAAGAGATTAGTGAAACGTAAACAATTTGTTAGATATTCAAGCAAACCACGTCAATGAGGGAGCGTGAACGAACAAAAACTCTTATCCGTAGCATGAGCAGTGCTACGAAGACGCCTAAAGGGCAACTGGCCCAACATGCCAACTCCAATGATAGGTCATATGCTTGGGCGTAGTAACTGCGGGGAATCGACTAATTCTACAGAGTTGCTGTTAGTCATTGCAACCAAGATATATACGGTGCTGTCACATAACTGAAGATCCAATACTTGAAGGAGACCTATGAGGAAACGTAGGTGATTAACTTACCGAAGGAGTTGGTGACCCGGCGAAGTTCCCTGAAACGTAATCAGAAAAGGTTTTGTCAACATCGCGAGATATCACAGTGACAGATAACCCAGGTTCAGCAACCCTTGCATGTCGCATGGAGTAGCAACAACGGGACCAGAGGCGGTGCACAACGTTGTTCAGGGTAGTTCGTGGGCGTTCCACTCCGAGTAAGGTTTCCGTTTCCGATGGAACGCGAATTTTGCAGACCGCACCACAATCAACAGCGGGGCAGAACGTCAAAGTAGGATTGTTTCGAATGGCTAAGATAGTAAGCAGCAAGATCAAAGTGGCGAATGCGAACCCACCTTGGACGGAAAGTTGATCGAGATACCGTTTGTACACAGCGGGAGGCAATATTTGTTCCAGCTGCAAGAGAGGTCATCTAAAGGCGTGTCACCAACTATACCTCCGCATCTGTTATTGATCCATGAGCTCCACACTGATAGCTGGGACAGGGGAATGCAGTAGCCAGCTGCTCGGCTAGCAACGTCGAAATATAGCTGACGATACACTGAAGAGAAACGAAAGAAAGCATTTCAGAGGTGAACCATGTTCAGTGAAACAGGTGAAATATCGGGCTGCCTTGAGATGAGTCACATGCTGTACGGGAATAGTACACAACAGGTTGTGACATAATAGATGAGAAGCGCCTCGTTGTCAGGCATTCACAATGCCACAGTTACCGGCAAAATTGCGCCGTACGCAAATAGTGCATTGTGCTGGGTTGGATTTGTTTTAGTTCGGTTAAAACAGAAAATGTAACTCGGTAGAGGTGGTGCGATGGCTCTAACTGTTTTGACGCGAGTAAGCAGAATGACGGAGCTAGAGGCGACGAATAGAACAAGCAAAAGAAAAAGTTCGTCGGGCGAGTTATTCAAGATGAGCGTCGCAGTGGGGATCCCCAAAGTTCAAGTGACACAGAAACCTGGGATGCTGTTCAAGTACTGTATACGGAGCACCAGCGAATATCCACTAAAACGATTGCCCAGCTGATGGACATCTCACGGGAGCGTGTTGAGTTTGTTATCCATACTATCCTGGACATGCGCAAGCTTTCAGCAAAGTGCCTTACGAAATGTATGACCAGTAAGCAGAAACAGAAATGAGTTAAAACACCCGAAAACATTTAAGCTTATTTTGAAACTGCCCAGGACTTGCGAATGGTAGTGACTAAGGGTGAAACCCGGCTTTATACATATGATCCTGAAATCAAAGAACAGTCAAAGGAGTAGCGCCACAGTGGATCCCCGGGGTTGAAAAAAATATGAATACAAAAGTCAGCCAAAATAGTCATGACGTCCGTTTTCTGGGATAAAGATGACGTTCTGTTAGTGGAGTATGTTTCTCAGGGCTTCAGTATCCTCGGACAGTATTATGCTAACCTACTAGACCAACTGAACGAGGAAACGGCGTGGAAAACTGATCAAAGGCATCATTTACTTGCAGAACAATGCGCCTGCGCACACGTCCAAAGTCGTGGCTAAAAATCGCACATCACGGGTTTAAAGTTGGTCCCCATCCCCCTGCTCATCTGATCTGGCCCCGTCAGACTATTGCCTCTACCAAAACTTGAAAAAACCCATCTGAATGAGTGACACTTTGAAGACAATTCTGACGTGATATAAGCTGGTGACAGCTGATCTGTGGCACAACAAAAGGACTGGCCTGGAAAAACTGCAAATACACCGGTACAGAGTGTATCAACAGGTTCAGGGGTAAATATGTTGAAGAAAAGTCATTTCCTGTTTCTAGCTCTGTACTTCCTGGTCAAAGCCAGGAACCTATCAGCAAACCCTAGTACAGTACTTTCAGCCGCTGCAACTGCATTCAACCATCCGAACACTGCTCGGACCCCTTGATCTGCATCTGTTAACAGTAGGTTTGGCTACTTCCTGCTTGGAAGTGTGATGGGGGCTGGAAATGTTGGTGATTGGAAATGCCGTAATGCCGATCGAACGTCACAGGACAGACCGATAAGGAGTGAGCATGTTGCCGGAAGCAGATTGGTCAGCCAATCAGGAAATAGTTGGCACGTACTCGCCTCACCCTGCAACTATCCACTGAACGTGCAAGTGGCCAATCAGGCGCCAGCAGGCGAAGGAGCGCATACTCGTGCACCCTTGAGCCAAGACTTGTGGCATTGGACCGATAGAAGTGCGAGGGCCCAATCCCGCCAATCGCACATCCACTAAGGAAGTCAAGGTGATTTTACAGATTGAACGTGGCAAGCAAGCATAAACCAATGGAAAGGGAGCCAGCGACACAATGCAAATAACAGGGATGAGCCATTGAGACGGACTGTTGTAAATAGTGTATATACTCTATAAATATTTGAGCGTAATCTTAATAAATGACTTCGTGATCGTGGCCCAGTTTTCTTGCTTCCCGGAGGGCTACATGACAGGAAGCATTGTATATGCTTGGAACCAGATAAAGGAAGAAATGAAGGCCAAAATGTTGATAAGAACACACAATTCAGCCCAGTCGGTTAACTTTGGTCGGAACGTCGAAGTTCATTTGATACAAGCGACTTTGACTAGCATCACGAAAGATAATGCTAATTCAAAAAGGATAGATGAAAAATGGAATCCATTACAGGGAGAAGTTGACATTAAGAAAATAACTGAAACAGCATCGCTGATTTGGTGATCGCGCCATATTCGATAAGGCATTCGATTCATGATGTGGGTTATTTCAAATTCCAAAGTTAGGAAGATGAAAGATAAAAACCCCACTTATTATCACTGTAAGCCTTATTAAGTGCAATTTGGTCATGCTACCGACTGACCCCTCATGAGTCTCACATAACTTGATGCAATATTCGCGAAGAATACACTCCGAGGAAGTCGGCTATCAGGCGTGCAAAAAATACATGACCTAACCAGAGAGAGTAGGTGGTTCAATGTGAGTGGAACTCCAGTGCGATACACCAGGGGTTTTGTTGCCAAATGCAAAAGGTCGAAAGTCCGTATGTCATCCGGTGCTTGCATCGGGCATGAGAGTACAAATTTAATGGTGAAACACAATCTACTCTTTAAAAGTTTCAGTACACAATGGCCAATTCTCCCATCCATACATTAACACTAGCTGAGTTGCACGGTTGAAACTCCTTCCTCTTTGACCGATAAGCGTATATATCACTGTCCCCACAGGCACCAAAGTGGGAAAAGTTACACGAACCTTACCGACGCGTGTGACAACCTCTATTCAGTGATGGGCCTGTCAGAATTAATACAATCATTTAGATAAGTGGACTAGTCAACTGTTTTAAGCAGCTGTTCAGCAGAAATGAAAACTAGTGGCGTGTTGGGTCAGTTCTGTCCTCTGACAGAACTTCGAGCTCTGAAGAAAAGTGCTATAAGTCTACTAGGCAATTCACTACAAGTGTCAAGTTTACCTGTGACAAAAGCTAGATAGTAATCTACGGTCGCAAGCAAAAGGTACCGTATGGAAACCCCCTCGAAACTGAAGATATGTACTTAAGATTGTCAAATAATAATCAAACGCCCACCCACTTCGCGGTGATTCCCGTTCAAGCAAAGGTAAACAGTTATATGTAGTAGAACTCTCCAAATTGGTTCGAGTTCCGAGCAGCAAACCGTCCTGTACCAAAGAAAACAGTGCTAAGAACTAGGGCAAAAATTTCAGTCGTATGGACTAAAATAACGCCACAAAGGATTTGAAATTCGGAAGGCTGGTGCCGCATGGCAGTGTTCTTTGTGTAACCTTTATAAAAGTGATAGTGGGTGGTAACACTAGTAATATTGGGTTGTTTGAGTTTGATCAAAAACCTAAAAGTGTTTTTATTCTCTGAGAGATGTATTTTGCAAGCGAGAGCGTTCTTAATCAGTTTACTCCAGAAGGAACCAGCATGGAGCAAAAGTAATGACAACCGTGCACAACAAAATCTCGGAAAATGCGAACCAAGGAGAAAAACGTATACGTGTGAAGATCCTCCCGCGCCAAACAGATATTGAAGTTGAGTGGAACCGCACAGAAGCACGTTATGCGTCGTTGAAAGGAAGAGATTAGGCGCGAACAGAGCTGCTGTATCGTGATAACAGGAAGTGAACAATGGAAACAACTATCTATTAGTGCTTACTTCCATAGCGCACTTTAAAATGGAAACACCAGAGGTTTAGGAAGCTTTGGGTCGAATCAAAGTGCATGAGGGTGTGAATAGACTGATCGTCCAAAATCGACTAACACCGGTTATGTAATACGTTGGCAGAGTTTTTCTGCCGCATTGTAGCACGAACAGGTGTGCTATGCTTCCACTTGTTTCTCAGAGGGTGGGTGACGTAACAAGTATGTAAGCCACAAGTGTTATTCCTAACTTGGAGAAAAAATTGATGCGAAAAGATGAGTGAGTGGAGAGAAAACCGGAAACAAGTTGACTTACGGATTTGCAAAACGTGCACCCACAGCTGGATAGGGTCAATGTCAGATCTGATTGCTTCTGTTCCATGCATATTGGACAGGAAAAAATGCCCTTCTCAATCATAGTCTCACATATTTCTTGAACAATATGGGAATGAGTAACTGAAAGGAAACGATTAATCAATGGCAACACGGTGGGAAAAGCGTTAGCGAAGGGGGAACAGACTAGCTGTTTAGGCATAAATTCAATAAGACACACATGATGTTGTAACCCATAGTTTAGATACAATAAGCTATCAGTAGTATTCCGAAATATAGTGCCGACGTTAAAGTGACGCAACCGCCATGGGTTATAAGCGGTTGGAATACCGTGAGGTCGACCGCGTCCATATAACTTTGAACCGGTACCCGGGGATTACAAACCAAGTATACTTAGACGCATTTGCCTCGAAAATGTGGGCCAGCGAAGGGTACCTGCTCGGATGCTAAATCTGATAGTTACATCAGTGAATAGCTCAAACACTAACAAACTCACTAACCAAAGTTGGCAGTGTTTGCCCACCAAGTATATTCGGTTACAATACCCACCAAATAAAGGTGGTCTAATTCACCAGTCGAAGCCACATTGAACGCCATAAATTCAGCTAGCAGCTGGATATGGATGGATAGACTGGCGTCCCAATCACCAAAACTGAACTTAAGCAAGTGATGTAAATGGATCAGACTGATTCCTCTATGGTTGCCGCAATCCGATCGCCAGCCTCCCTTGAAAACTGGGACTATGACGGAGCGGCTCCAGTCGGTTGGGACAGCTTCCTACTCCCACAGTTTCACTAGTAACTCGTGTAAATCACCCAAAAGAGCAGGTGCCCCGAATTTGAAGAGTGCTGGGGAAAGATCATCTGGTCCCGCGGCTTTATTTAACTTCAACAGTGCGATCTCACATTCGACTTTTGAGCGAGAGTGCGGATCCAAAGGGACAGTCAAGGGAGCGGGGCGCTCAGTGGTCGGCGAGAAATTTATCAATTCCGACCGATTAAATTGCCTTTCAAAATGCTTAGCCCAACGCTCCAAGCGTTTTGACAAGTTGTAGATAGGCTGTCCACTCTCGTCACGTATAGTTTCACTAACCCCAGGTCTCCTGCTGCCCGTTTCCCGTATCAGCCGGAATAACTTACGATGGTTACCAAGGGACCAGATGATGTTCCTCCAGCCCTCTTCAAATTCGGAGGCTCGACTCTTGTTGATGCTTTACATGAAGTACTAGTGAAACTGTGGGAGCAGTAGACTGTCCCAACCGAATGGAGCCGCTCCGTCATAGTCCCAGTTATCAAGGGAGGCTGGCGGTCGGATTGCGGCAGCCATAGAGGAATCAGTCTGATCTCCATCGCCTCCAAATTGCTTGCCTCCATAATCCTTTTCAGACTGACTGGCACTCGTGAAAGCCATATTCGTGAGGAGCAAGCCGGGTTTCGTCTAGGTCGTGGCTGCATCGATCACATCTGCACTTTGCGTCAGTTGTTGGAGCACCGTCACATATATTGGCGGCCCACCGTTGTCGCGTTCCTCGATATCAAAGGTGCATTCGATTAGGTGGAGAGAGGTGCACTTTAGGACTGTCTACTTAGGAAAGGTGTACCTGAGAAATATGTAAATATTGTCCGACCATTATACGCGCGTAGCTCGGGCAGAGTGAGGGCTTACGGCAAGCTGTCGTTGCCCTTTAATATTTCCAGCGGCGTAAGACCAGGATGCTCACTGTCACCTTTCCTCTTCAACTTCGCTATTGATGAAGTCATGGAAATCGCGTTTACAGGACACGACTTAGAAGATTTGGACCTGCTCCCAGGAGAACGACTTCTTGATTTGAAGTATACTGACGACATTGCCCTCATTTGTGACAGCTCACAAACGTGCCAAGCGGCACTGGACAGATTAGCATTGGCTGTCAGCCGCTTCAGGCTTTGCTTTGCACCCTCGAAGTGCAAAGCGTTCTTCCAAGATTGGCCTGGACCGCCTCCTACACTGACACTTGGTGGGGATCAGCTAGAAGTCGTTCAAAAATTCAACTACCTGGGAAGTTGTATCAGCGCCCGTGGGATTGAAAATGAGATCACGAACCGTATAGCAAAAGCTCGAGGCGCTTTTGCTAACCTTCGCCACTTATGGCGGCGGCGCGACATCACTCTCGCCCTGAAGGGTAGAGTGTACATTGCAGCCGTACCTCCGACCCTACTGTACGGTTGTGAAACCTGGCCCCTTAGATCAACGGACCTAAAGAGGCTAGTTACGTTCGACCACCGGTGCCTTCGTAATTTAGCTCACATCTGGTGGGAACACCGAGTTAGCAACGAGCGTGTTCGACGACTTGTGTACGGCAAAGGCAATGAACCGCTCAGCACCGATATTTCACGCACCAGGTTCCGATGGCTCGGCCACGTGTTACGCGTCAGCCCACCGACTCCCGCGACGTGTTGTTTGCGCGCCGGGGGTGTGGATGGAAAAATAGGAGGTGGCCAAGCGATGACTTGATCGAGAGGAATGAAGGCCCTCACTTCTGAGCTGACCTCGTTTGGAGCGTCTCGGCTCCCTGGTTAGGGTCCGAAAGACGATGAACACCTTTGGCTGGATACACTTGTTGATATGGCTAGGAGAAGGGATCAGTGGCGTTCGTGCTGTGAGTTTCTTTGTCCCACCCCATCGCTCTTAGCCTCCCCTTCAAACACGATCTCATTATTTAGCCTTATATAATTTTGCATAATAATATTTTTTTTGGTGCACAGCAGCCGGCTGGTAGCTTACCGGAACGATGCCCATCCGTTACCGGTAGCTCAGCTGGCTTGCACCTGTTGCATTTTATTCCCTATTTTTCTTTTAGATATTGCAGCACAGTAGCTGAGGTGTCTCCCACCTCTAGCTAACGTGTATAGTGCGTGTGTGTGGTTTGCGTACACCACTGGTTTGAGAGTTAAGGTGAGTAGCAACCTGTTATCGGGAAATGGTCAGTCTTGCAGACGAATGCCGTAGTCCCTTTGCCTCGCGATGAGACGTCTAAGCAAAAGGCCATAGACGAGTACCCCAACAGATGTTGTACCAAGGTTCTGACAGTGTCTCAATCCACTTGTAAGCATGAAATCTTCATAAACTAGTGCAAGCCTGTATCGGTCGTCGCGCAGCTCTAAAGTAAACTGGCCTGCAACATACAGTACCAGTTTATCTGATAATGCTTCGGATTCCCATCAGTAACCCCCTCCGGTAATCCACATCGCAGGTTATAGTAGCTTCAACACTAAGGAAGCTTGGCCACAGACTCAGTCGTCTTTTGCCACTACACACCTTCATCAGGCAACGCTGTTCGAATTTCTTGGTAGAGTTTAATGTTGTCAGAACCAAAGAAACATATCAACGTGAGATAGTATTCATCTTTGCATTTGTCAATGTCACTACACTTTTCCTATCCGTTACACTTTTAGCTCTTGTCTCCATTCACAGACGAATAAACCCTGATTTCCCAGGTTTCGATTCCTCATTCTCTGATCTGTCTCTGACTTCTCAATTATACTACAATTTATTCCTCTGTGAATCAATCTTCATGGAGGGTTTTCTCAGGCCGGAATGTTTCGGCGCTGATCCTAATGTTTCAGATGCGCAGAAGCAGTGGATGCACGGGTACCATACTTTATTGGAGTCTATTGGAACTCAAAATCATGATAAATGGAAAAGCATGGTAAACTACATAGCCCCATAAGTTTTCGAGTATATTGCTGACAGCGCCAACTTCAGCGAAGCTATACAGGCACTAGAAAGCGTATATATCAAGCTTAAAAATAAAGTTTTCCCGCGCCTCATTTTAGCTACGTGCAAACAAGAAAACGGATCTAACTTAGACCAATGCGTTCTGAGGCTCAAAGTCCTTGCTAAGGACTGCAACGTTCAGAGAGTTAGCGCGCAGCAAAATCGTGGTGGCGCCATTCGCGACGCCTTCATCACGAGGATAGTTTCTACTCAGATTTGATAACGATTACTGGAACACGGTGCGTTAAATTTTCAAACTGCATTCGACTTAGCGAGGTCTTTGGAAATGACACACTAACACACACAGTCTTACCAAAATGCCGTAACTTCCCCATCGTGCGCATCAGTGTCCAAGATTCGAGTCACCTACCAAAACTGCCAAACCACCATCTTCACTACCACCATATGTTTTCGTTGCGTCCAACGAAAGGTGTTACTTTAGCGATTTTACTCGACATCCACGAATCAAATATCCGGCTCGGGAAGCAGTTCACACGGGCTGTGGGAAGAAGGGACACTCTAGGAAAGTTCGCCTATGTAGCTCATCCAAAAAGAATACTTCCCAGGCAACTTCATTAATTTTTCACTCTACGATTGCATGTGCTCCTGCTTGCTTAACGCGGGCTATCACCAATATACAAGTTAATGGTTCCGATCTGGAAGCGCTAATTGATACTGGCAGCTCCGAAAGCAACGTCTCTGTTGTTGTTGCTCAGAAAGCGAACTGGAAGATTAATTCGTCTCGCGCGCGCATACGTATGGCTTCAAACCAACTGCAGACGTGTACCGTTGGGTATCGCAACGTCAAAGTTACGTCTACCACAACGTCAGACATTCTGGGGTACATAATCTGTGTTCAGATGTCCTTCTCGAATACGAGCTTCTTCAATTACATGAGAAACTGGAGATTCCGTTCGGTGGCAAGAAACCACCCCTGTGTGCTTGCAGTTTCACTGGTGCTAACGTTGAAGCCCGGCCACTCTTCCGTAACCTCGCGTCGGAGTGCAAACCAATAGCGACAAAGTGCAGATGATACAGTCCCGAGGACGAGGTTTTCATTCGTTCCAAAATACGCCATCTCCAACAGAAAATCATAATCGAGCCACCCGTTTCACCATGGATAGCTCAGATACTGGTCACTACTAACGAAAGACATGAACGACGAATGGTCGTAGAGTACAGTAAAACAACAAACTGATTTACACACCTTGATGCATACCCACCTCCTGAATTGGACGAAATGGTCCAGAATACTGTTACTTTTGAAACATTCAGTACCTTAGACTTAAAAAGCGCTTACCATCAAATTCCTATCTGTTAAGCCAGAGGAAAACAGAGCTGTGTAATAAGATGGTTATTTAGGTAAC